GACACACACAAAATATATTTTTTGCTGATCTGACAAAAAACAATTAGGTATTATTTTGATTCACTCACACCAAATGGCTATTGTTGTGTTTGCTGTTGTCATTTTATTTTTCATTTGACGGTCTAAGGGAAAAGAGGTCAGTGCCCCTGACTGCATAGTCAGATGTTACATGCTTTAAATATTCTTGTGGCACACTAATGTATTGCAGCACACTGGTTGAAAGTCATTGTTCTAAATTGTTGAAATGGTTGCATTCCAACAATATTAACATCTTCAATCTAACCCTTTAATTTTAATTTTCCTTGGACTAATGTATTTTGCATGGTTCTTTTAACTTAAACCTATTTTGAGGTTAGGAGGACATGCTAAGAGCCATTGTCCTAACAGAAGACCTTTAAGCCACCGGAATTAACTATTCTTTGTGGTCCTTAGCAGTTCTGAATGTGAAAGCTGAATAGGTAGGGACTACCCCAAATAGTTCAGCTTATTTTGTGCACAGTTGCATTTTCTGCCCATTCCTCCAGAGGGGCTAAAGGTTCAGAAACAGCAGGGAAGCTGAGCAGATTGGCTTGCAAGGAAATGTTAGCCAATAATAATATTTGAGCTTTTATTTGTTGGAAAAACGGTTATGTTCTCTTTTCGAGCTTCCTGTTCTTTCCTACTACTTTTTTCAGCTCCCAGCTTCTATCCAAAGGATGATGAACAATGTTTTCTTGTTAGGGTGGTGGCAAGAATACAAGACTGGGGCCTGTGGCTGGGAAGTAAGGACTTCAGTGTGGCGTGCTCTCTACAATTCTTTGTACACTCTTAGCAGTAAAAATGTTGAGTGCTCTTCTTCAATGTATAAATTTTATATATAAATTATGTGTGCATACACTTTTATTACATACATTATAAAATGTATCCTCCAAAATAAAAGCTTAAAATGAATGAACCAAAAAAATACAATAGAAGTTATATTATCTTCTTTTTATGCTCCAGTAACGGTCACTGGAAGCTACCTATTTAGAAAAAAATTTTTTTAAGGATTTGGGAAAAGAGCATAGAGATTGATCTTGGGTTGTTTTGGTTGCAGGAACCTTTCTAGTTCCAGTTGGCCAGCACCTGGCACTCAGTGAGAGAGTGCCTTTATGTGAAAGGCGCACTGCCCTCTCTTTGCTGGAATTTCCGTGTAGAATGTACCAGGCACAGTACCAGAGGATAGCAAGGGAGTAAGACATGCTTTAAATCTTCTGTCAGAAAGCTCATCTTCTAGGCCAAGCTCTGGTGCAGTGTAGGAGAAGTAAGGCCTAAAGTCGACAAATAGACATAGCATAGTGCCCAGGCTTGTTTCCAGTGTTCTCGCTCTAGCATCCCCATTGTGATCCACAGTGAGCTGTTGGGGGAAGGGAAGCAGAGGAAAGGATCTGGTTGAGGGTGTGTAGTACTGTAAAGACATTCAATGGGAAAGATAAAAGAGGCATGGTTTTATTTGAATTCTTCTGAGATTCCTTCCCTACCCTCCAGTCTATGTAGCCATATATTGAATTGAGCCCTGAGGGCTCACATGGGTCCAACCTTGTTCTTTAGGGACTCAGATAGCATCGCATTGCTATCTACCTGGTAGCTATCATGTATTTGGGGCTCAAGAATACACCCAAGTGCTGTAAAGCAGCAATTATAAAATTCAGTTTGTTTTTAAACTTAATAATCAAAAGAGAAGGTGCTTACTAAATTGATATTAAAGCAATCAAGCCCTTCCATAATAGAAAGAAGGCTACATATTGAGTTTACAGATCTCAAAAGAGTCATAAAATTTCATGGATTTAAACTGGGATTTTAAAATAAGGTGGACTAGTCAAATAAGTATGGTTACTGAATGGAAAACTAGAAGACAACTACCCTAGTGTAATGTTTAAATGTTTGCCCACTGTGTGCCAGGCATTGCTGCCTTTGAAGGCTAAGGCCAAGGTTTCCATGGTGTACTTGGGTGATTTGGGCAAATAAGGCATATTTCACTTCCCCAAATGTCGAGTAGCCATAAACCTGGTCTAATAGAAAAAAAATCTAGTAGTCAGCAATTCTTTATTTAAAGGTAAGCTTTTTTTCCATTTTGAAAATACTCTATGCTCAATTAGAAAAAATTAGAAACTATAGAAGAGTAGAAAGGAATCACCCATCCTTGTATTGCAAAAAGAGAGCCACTATGAACATACTTTTCAGCATAATTTCATAACATTTGGGTGCCTTTATATGACGGAGTTGCTTAGCCACAGTGAGTGTGGGAAGAAGGATGACTGGGTGACTGTTAACACAAGAGCCTGGACTACAAAATCAGAAATACCAATGTCTCTGTTGAACTTCTTTGTTGAAACCAGCCTGAGTGCAAAGTGGATCAGAAGAGGTCAGCTCTGAGAATTCGAAAGCAATTTGTTCTGATGTGTCCAGCATTACACATCTGTAATGCTGGAACAACCCTTTTGCCCAATGGGAACATGTGTATACCTCGAGTTGAGCACATGGCAGCCATTGCACTGAGATGTTACCTGCAAGATAAGTCTTTTCCATCTCTGTTTGAACTTATTCTGTCTTTCCTTGTCATAAGAGTAGAGTTGAAATGTACTGCAGCTTTGGTTCTCTCTGTTCTCATGTCCTTTTGGGAAGAGATGTAACTTAATTTATATCCCTTCTGTAATAAACACCATCAAAAGTTACATACTGGGGCAGTTGGATAGTTTTCCTTACTGGAGAAATTAGTAAGCTCCAAGGGAAGCCTAGAACAAACCATCTGTAGTGAAAGTCCAGTTTTATTTTTTCCCAATCCATTGCCAAACAATCCTTTTGGCAAATACAATAAAAACAAATTACTAGAAAAATTAAAAAACAAATTCAATCCCAAATTTTAGATTCAGCAGACTTAAAGTTACTCTGGAATTGCTATGAAATTCCTAAATGCTTTTTCTTGTTTCTGTACTTACTGTGACCCAGACTTGCACTAGACTGCAGGCCACATGTTGAATTTTGGAAGAGTGAGAAATAATTTCTGATGGACTTGCAACCTTAGATGCAAAGTATAAGCAAGTTTATCACTGCATAAACTTTGGAAATAAGGCCATGTACTAAATTACCCAACTATGTCAATGTTTTTTAGGCGCTAAATGATATAGCAATGATCAAGTCTCAAAGTCCCTTTTCTCAAGAAGTAAGGTAGAGATAGAAAATAAGTAAATACTAAGAAATTATTTATAGTAAAAATAACAGAAAATAAAAAAAGTAATAAGATGAAAAATGGGAGGGGAATGGGGCTATTTTAAATATATTAGTTCAAGAAATCTCCTCCCTGAGAAGTTAGCTACATATGCACACATATCCCAAATGATAAGGAGTCAGATACTCAGAGATCTGCAGGAAGAACATTCTGGGTGTAGAACAGCAAGTGCAAAGCCTTGAGGCAGAGATATCTTTGACATGCTCAATGACGGAAAAGAGCTAATAAGGCCTGCAGAGAGCAATGTTGAATGTAAGTTGATGCGGCCAAAGTCACCTTTGGGCTTCATGTCATTTGATAATGGACAAGAGAGTAAATTAGAGAAGTGTAGGTAAGGAAAATGGTATCAGGGGCAGCCTGAGGTGAAATTGTGGAAATAGGTGAGTTGGGTTGCAACTGGGTAACATACAGTACTCAGGAAAACCAGGAATTTCATCCATGACTTAGCCCAGAGTCCTGCAATGTGGCGAGTCCAGGCCTGTTTCTTTATGGAAAAAGTGAGGAGCCTGGGAAGGATGGGCTCTGGAGAGATTGGCCTGGCCTCATGGACAGGCAATAAGGAAGGCTTTGAAGGGAGTATCGGAGAGTTTTCAGCAGTGGTCGGTACCTGAAGCAGGGGTATGGAGGTAGCCTTTGGATGGAATTTGTCACATTTAACTCAACAAACACTCTGAAATCAATTTGACCTTCATACCACTTCAGAATTTCAACACAGCATAGGACATTCATGTCCATTCATGTTTGAACAACTGACTTCTTGCAATAGGAAAAGGAGTTCTTTGAATATGAAGGGTTTTAGGGCCATGAAGACCCATCTTTGCATTGTCATCTTCATTATCTCTAACAATGGAGAGGTGGAGATAGGTTGGTGATTCAAAAGTTTCTCTTCTGAATGTTGCACTTCCTGTTATACCTGTAATCAGCTTTCAAGTTTTCTGTTTACCTGACAGTTTTTCCTAAGGTTTAAAGGACACTTTTTAAAAAAGTGATATTAGATACAGGAAGATTTTTTAACAGAGCAGACAACCTGACGTGATTGTTTTTAGGAGAAATACACCACTGTGTAGTCCCATCTCAGTCAAACTTGGAATTAACATTTAAAGCAGATTAATCCCTGGGAAAAAACATAATTAGGAGTCAACAAGAGTTTACACTTAAAGAGAAGAAAGGAAGAGATGCTCATGCGCCCAAATTTCAGTTTTGCTGTTTATTTCCCCACATGTGGAAAAGCAGGCTGAGTTTACAAATTTTTCAGTATTGAGATAGTTTTAAGGGCACCAGTTCTTTTAGGATTGAACTTTTGCCCACCTTGTTAAGGTGCAGGCTCCAAAGAAGCCTGAGGGGAAGACCCTACTTTAATTGGTTTAGGCTCTTAAAGAAATAATACATTTTTTTGTGCAACCTAAGAATAATATAGTCAAATTGATAGAGCTAAAAGGACACAAATATAATTTTGACCCTTCGCTTCTTTATCAGAAGACGAAATGGAGGTGATATAACTTGTCCAAGTTCACACAGGTAATCAAGAGCAGAGACAAAACTGGAGCTGGGACTAGTCTTGTGACTATTAGATTAGTACACTTTCTACTTTTATCACGTGACTCCTTGGTCTTTGAGTATTCCCAATGCTGGAACCCCATTATGTAGTAGCAATTTTCTTCTGACACTAAATTTTGGAGGTAGATACTATTTCATTGAATAATTGGAATTGAGAAATGTCTTGCATTTGTTATATTTTATTTTTGGCATTTAGGTTTTCCTAGGACATTAGTTCAGGCTGAAGCCTTGGACAGAATCTGTGATCTGGATCTCGTGATCACTCTGAACATTCCATTTGAAACACTCAAAGATCGTCTCAGCCGCCGTTGGATTCATCCTCCCAGCGGAAGGGTCTATAACCTGGACTTCAATCCACCTAATGTACATGTAAGAAAGTACAAAGTACTCTCACAGACTGACAAGAAAGGGGTAAAACATTTTTGTTGACAAGTGGGTAAAAGATAGGAAGATAAGAGACTATTCAAAAATGAGCAAATAAGCCCTGGCTGGCGTAGCTCAGTGGATTGAGCACGGGCTGGGAACCAAAGTGTCCCAGGTTCGATTCCCAGCTAGGGTACATTCCTGGGTTGCAGGCCATAACCCCCAGCAACCGCACATTGATGTTTCTCTCTCTCTCTCTCTCCCTCTCTCTCTCTCTCTCTCCCCCTTCCTTCCCTCCCCCAAAAATAAATAAATAAAATCTTAAAAAAAAAAAGAGCAAATATATATAGCCAACAAATATTTAAACTGCTCATTCACTAGTAGTCAAGGAATGTAAGTTAAAGTTTGTAACACCGATTCCTGGATGGGATCTGGGAAAAATGGTATTCTCATCTTTATTAGGTATATGAAATAATCTTTTTAAAAAGCAACCAGCAACAAACATTAAGGATGCCTTCCTAACTCCTGGGTGCCACAAGTTCAGTAAAATTCCAATGAGTCTTACTATTTGGACTGAGCACTAGTCTCCCTTTGAAGACTTCTTTTTAAAATGTAGATCTGGAATTCTTTGTTAGATCTCTTCTCCTTTCCATCCCAAGAAGTTTAGAATGGGGGGAAATGGATGAGGAAGAAAAGAGGATTCTGAATATGCCCTGAAGTCCAACACAAATGCTTCATATTTTGGCCTGCCTAGACCTGCCATTGCAAAGATTCTCATAAAATTTGAGAAGCTTTAACACTGACTTGCTTTGCAAAGACTGGGTTTCTCAAAAAGAACACCTGTAATTACAATGCTACTCCCAAAGACAGCAGTGAAAGTACTTGTCTGGTCCAACTCAAGCAGCTGCTGTGGTCTAGCTCCCCCAGAAGGATGAAGCTGTTGCCCTCCCATCATCCTGCTGTTTCTGGAAACAGTTGTATTTGCTGGTGCTCTGAAGTCCCAGAAATGATTTCTAAACTTTGCAGCCAAAAGTAAAATAAAAGAGAGGGGGATATAGGTGATGTACAGCTTCTCCCATCCCTGTCACTCCTGTTGTGTAAGGTAACAGACATGAAACACACACATGATAATGATGTGGCTCACCAATAAATCCTGAGTGTAAATTATGTACCCAAGACCCTGAGCTGTAATGGAATTGCAGTGCGTTTCCAATTTAGAGCCAGTTTCTGATTATCCAGTTGAGTTGCCTAGGTCTTTGGTTCTGCTCTGGCCTGCCTTTTGACAGATTTATTTCTTTTGATTATCTCCCCTGGTGGGTAATAGCCATAGACATGGGAGGCAAAATTCTGATGTGTTGAATTTGCTATTTGTAAGTATGGTTCCCTAGGAGGTTAAAATACATAAAAAATGAGGTGGGTTGGGTTTTTTTTTTTTTGCATTTTTTTTTTAGTTCTCAGAATGTTTGTTCCTGATTATCATGGGTATATGATATGCCTGTTTTAATTCAACCTTAGATAACTCATTGCTTGATATAGTAAATTAACCTGAGTAGGATTAGCCTTAGAAAAGTTGCATGATAGAATTTGAAAGTTAGCTGAGATAGGACTGAAATACCTTCTTCTAGATTAGTGTTTTTCCTAAGTAAACCAGTTGGTTCCTTGAAACATTTAATTTTCTACATTGGGAACTCAGGCATTAGAAAGCAAGTCAGTTTTAGGAATATTTAAAGGGCCAGAGTGACATTGTTTGAAGGTTGCTTATTGGGGGAAGGAGGCTGCAATGGAAATTTAAACTGAATTGGAGATATCATATATCAACAGCACTTGGAACATGTTTGCAAGGATCTAAAAAGTTGATAAAGATCTCAGCTCTCATGAAATAAGGTTAAATTTCTGTTAAGAGTGCTTTTTCTTTTTCAAGTACCTTCACTATTACCATGGTTGCCCAGGCCTAAGTCATTGTGTGATAGGAATCAAATATGAATACATGCTTTTGCACTGGAAAGTTTTTACCTATGAAGTGGCCCAACTGTTGCCCATATTAACTGGTTTCTCTGGTCTTGTAGGGGGTTGATGACGTCACTGGTGAACCGTTGGTCCAGCAGGAGGATGATAAACCTGAAGCAGTTGCTGCCAGGCTGAGACAGTACAAGGATGTGGCAAAGCCAGTCATTGAACTGTACAAGTGAGTGCGCTTCAGTGTTTTCATGGCAGTCAGCCAGTGGGAAAGGTGTGGAGCTTCGTGAGAAGGGCCCGGGGTTGAGGTGGGGTAGTGTTTCTTTCAGGCAGGTAAGCCCTAAAAACCCCAGCATATTCCCAGAAGTCAGATGAAATGCTGAAGTTGTTCATGGGAGATAATGCCCAGTACTTTTATACTGAAACTATAAACTCTGAAACCCGATCATCTCTGGTTATAAATTGCACCTAGATTTATTTTCATTTTTCCTTTTTTTTTTTTAAGATTTCATTTGATTTTTTTTTTAGAGAGGGAAGGGAGGGAGATAGAGAGAAACATCAATGTGCGATTGCTGGGGGTTATGGCCTGTAACCCAGGCATGTACCCTGACTGGGAATCGAACCTGCGACACTTTGGTTCGAAGCCTGCGCTCAATCCACTGAGCTACGCCAGCCAGGGCTTCATTTTTCCTTTTAAGTGGATGAAATAATGGTTTACATTTTGACACTGCCACGCATAAATATCTTATTTGGATAGAAAATTACACAGGACTTTTGGCCTACATGTGTCTGGAAAACAATAAGCTACACATTGCAAATTTGAATGGCTTCAGGGGCCAGGCAGGTATTGGAAGGAGCGTCAAGCCTGATAGGGGGTAGTTGAGTGACAGTTGAACTGTTCAGCTCCAGCCAGTTATCACCACAGGGTACTCAGGCTCATTGTGACCAATGATCCCTGTTTTTCTGGAGGGAAGCAGAAATTTGGCTCTTTGTGTGGAGAAAAGTAATCCCAATTTTTATATTAGCAATGAATTTTAAAATTCTAACAGTGTGTCAGCCCAGTGAAACCCACATGTGTATCTCCCCTCAGGATAGCAGTATACAGCCTTTGCTGTAGTCTGTTGCTGACCTCGTCACCTCCAAATAGTTTAGCTAGCCTTTAGATCAGAGGTTCCTGATCAGATTATTGTGGCTCATCCTGTATTTTTAAATCTCTGTTGAAATAATGGTTTTAGAGCACCAAATTTTGTCAGTAATTTGGTTTTCAGGAATGTGTGGTGAGGCAGATTTTGGATTGTCTTCAAAGAATAATGTTATTTTTTCATATACTTTTTGTTCTTTTTAAAAATTGTTTTAATGACTGAAACAAAAAAGATCTAAAACCACAGCTTCTGGAAGAGCCATTTGTTCTTGCCAGTCTTGTACCTTTCTTTGAACTTGACCTTGGTCTTCTGTCCAGCCTTGCGTTTCAGAGCAGGGTCTCTGAAGATGTCCTTCTTGACAGCAGTTTTGTTCAAGGGAAAACAAAGTACCTTGTGGGCATGAAGTGATTATAAGCTTTCACAAAAGACTTGATCTTTGATGTCTTGGCAGTTTTCTCCTTGTCCATGGCAGCTGTCACTTTCCAATCCATTCCAGCCACCAGAGCATGGCTATCGGGATGGTCTGAAGGGCCAGCATCAATGTTCTTCACAATGACACAAAGTAGCATTCGTCCAGGACCAGCACCACCTTCCTGAGTTTCATAAACTTGCCCATTTCAACAGCAGCCACTGGGGCCTTCTTTGATGTGTTTTAGAGGGAAGAATACAAGGTGGCACCATGGCAAGCATGCCACAATTGAAAAGCTGTGGTCTTATTTAGATAACACCCAGTGGAGGGTGTCGATGCATTTGAAGGGGCTAGTTAGGCTCTTCGTGGTGTGTGATATAGATTGTAAGATTGCGCTTGCATTTTATTCAGGACTTCATTGGCTCTAATATTATGTTAAAAGGGAACCTAAAATGCCTTTGTGGGTTTCACTTTGTTTTTCAGGAGCCGAGGAGTGCTCCACCAATTTTCCGGAACAGAGACTAACAAAATCTGGCCCTATGTTTACACGCTTTTCTCGAACAAGATCACACCTATAGAGTCCAAAGAAGCATACTGAGCCCACCTGGAGGAAGAACCATGAGAAGTGGTCATTCTCTCAATTATGTGTGTAGTACTGGTGCCGTGTTTCAATTAGAAGCTAGCTGAGATAGCTTGCGTCTTTTCTAGTTTAAGTGGTGATCTGATATAAAAACTAATGAGGAAAAAGAGTTAATGAAGAGGCTCCTCTCTGACTTTCAAAACAAGGGTCATCTAGACATGTTGAAGATGTCTCTGCACATGTGCCAAACCCTTCACAAGAAAGCCAGTGCAGGCTGGATTTCAAACGGTGTATATCCCCAGCTCTATCTGTTTTTTGACAGTCATGTTGTTGCCATAGTAGCAGCCTTTTTACCCTTGATGGTGGTGCTCTCTGGTTCTCCCCAACCCCTAAAGGCTGTCGAACCATAGCACCAGCAGGTCTGGGAATGCCAAGGGCTGTTGCCTGGGCTTTGTCCCACGTTCTCTGGTATATGCCCCTCTGGAGGCAATGAGGTCGAAGCCAATAGCTCTCGATTTTGAATGACTGTATCCACGTTTATTTTTTCTGTTAGGAAAACCTCCTTTTCTGAGTCCATGCACCATAGGGTCTCTCCTTTTTCAGCAATCCAGGAATGAAAAGATTTGGCTTCTGCTATGTTTATTAGGCTGTATTTTTTTTTACATCTGTTTCTTCCCTTCCTAGGCTATTAAATTATATGGATACTTATTGCTTTTATCCCTCTGAAATTCCTTTCTAAGAGCTGAGAGCTAGGGGATGATGTCAAATCACTTCATGCACCAGAACCTGAGCTCTTGGAGGGTCTCCTTATACTGCTGGTCTGACGCTCATGGGTGGACATCATTCCTTTTTTTTTTTTGTGCAAAAATAAAATCCTCAGAGGATTTTTTAAATCCTCAGAAAGTAAGAAATATTCACCTACAGAAATGTTAAAAGATCGTATCATCTGTACCTGACTAAAATAATAGTTTACTTTTTATTCAAGATAAAGAAAATGTGTTTGAAAATGCTGCTAAATGTAAATGTGGACAGTGTTTTTCTCCCGTGAGTGACCCATGCTTGTTATGAGTGGTTGGTAAGGGGAATGGAGCCTGTGCGGTTGAGGAAACGTGTTGCACTGGCTGTGCCTAGGCGACGTATACAGCTTTACAATTATGAGAAAATAAAATCTTAATTTTTTTTTATTCCAAAGATTCTACAGGGTGGCCATAAAGTCTAAAGATACAGATAACACTATTTTGTCATTCATCATAATGTAATGTCAATAAATCATTTGTTAAGGATTTGCTTGGTTTCTAGACTTGGTGGCCACCTTGTATAATTAATTCTTGTTCTCCTCTGGGAAGGACAATGAAATCTATTCCTGCTGCCTTAACAATAAGTACTCCTCTTCATGCATTGTGATTATCCCCAGAAAGGGTCCCTTACTATTCCTGGGAGTGACTTCAGAGTAATCATTGCTTTTGGAGTTTGGGGTGGAGGTATAGAAAATGGGAAATGGCCTGATCCCCGATTCCATACTCTACTCCTCCACCCTTCACTCTCTTCCTTCTCCCTTCCAGCAAAATAGACAGCTTCAGTCAGTGTCAGGGTCACTCAGTGTGTCTCAGCAGTGTTTGCTCTTTCTGAGATTGCCCAGCAATGAGGGGCCCTTTGCTAGATGATATCAATAAAATACAAACACCTTTTCCGTGGTCTCTGAAAGACGATGCGTGTTTCATGTTCAGTGGCCTAAAATATATATTTCTGGTTTTCTTCAACAAACTCCTTCAATGATTTTGACAAAGATTAACTTTTTGTAAAAAGATTAAATTTTTTAGAAAAGTAAATATGAGAAAAGTAAAATTCAAGGAACAGCTTTTTTTTTTTTGGTTTTCATTCTACTGATACACACGTGGTTCCTTCCCTGTTAGGCAGAAATAGTTTGGATAGTCTCTTAAGATTTATACCTGTCCTTACAGTCTGTGATTCTAACCAGCTCTGAATTCATTTTGCTTTCCATTATCCTGACAGGCTTATTTAGACTTGAAAATGTTGCTGTGTTTAATACCCTTGCCAACATAAAATAGGTACCATTTATCAAAGGCCTACTGAGTGATATATGCAGTTTTTAGACCTTTATAAATACAGGGTGGAACGGAAGTAGGTACAGTTGCTTATATGGAAAATAATACAATAATTAATAAATAATAATACAAGAATAAACTGTGCTTTGTGTACTTGCAACTGAAGCCTACTTTTGCCCTGTCCTGTATTTCATCCTGTGAACAGGCACCATCCTACATTTATAAAAGAAGAAGGCAAGGTCACAGATGTGAAGTGATTTGCCCAGGTTCCTGCTGCCCATAAATAGTGCAGCCAGGGCTCACACTGAGGTTTTCCTGACTCTGCTACCTGAGTTTGCTCTTGGATGTTAACTTCCTGTTTCCTGTTCCATGCAGCCCAGGACACAAACCTGCTTGGTTTTGCTTGTATTTAAGAGCAGCCTCACATCAAATGTAACAGAGTTCCCTGTGATGACATTTAGGTTTATATGATACTGTTCTTATTCCCTGTGCTTAAGCAAAGGGAGCTGCTACAGGAAAATCTGAGCCCTTGGCCCTTCTCTGTAACTACTAATTTATGAATAAAATGAAAGGCTATCAATGTAGGCTGGCTTGAATCCCGGCTAATCTGAGAAGAAGGCGAGCTCATGTGCCTCACTTACCCTTTTGTGTCCATGGTTTTGTGCCCCTAAAGGGACCTTTACCTTTCAGCCACCCTCAGCCATGGTGCTCACACATAGGCCTGAGCTCCTGAGATTGGAATAAGTCACTCCTCACCGCCACCCCAAATAAGGCCCTGATAATAAACTGATCCTCCTTAAAGTGCTGGCAGATGAACCAATGGTGACTGTGCACCTAACACAGGGTAACCCTGACTTTATACCATCTCCCTATATTATATCACACTTTAATATGATTCTGAATGCCAAGTTCACCCCTTTGCCCGCCATCTGATCTGGTAGTGCTGCTTCTCATGCACAGTTCTGGCAGAACCAAGGGAGACTGGCTTTCTGTCTTACCCACCTTACACAGCATTGCTCCCCATCACCCTCCAGGAGCCAAGTTCAGACGAGCTCTAGCTTCAGCCAGGTTATGCCCACTCTTTGGCAGGGAAGGGAAAAAGTGATAATAGCAATGGGTGAGAGAGCTGCTGCTGTGGCTTTTCCTGCCACTTAAATTGTTGTTGAGACAGGATAATGTTAGAGGGATGCCCGCGCAAACCCATAAATAGGGCTTTTATCAAATTTAGTTCACTGGAACCTGAGTTTAGTATATGACTTAGCTGTTTGTCTAAATAGTTTACCAGTCTGTTGGAGGTCTTTGCTCAAATCATGAAGACCACAGACTTCCCAGTGTTATGGTATAGGCATTCCTAGCAGTTGCTGGTAATTGCTACTTCATGCTAAGCACATTACATGCATTGTCTAATTAAATCCTTAACAATTACCCTAGGTAATAGATATGATTTCAATTATATTGCCTCCTTGCATTTAAAAACTGAAATAATCCTGTTTACATAAACTTGGGCCTTTTTGGTACCCTTCTTTAGTTTGCACTCTCTGTTCTCATTAATGGATAAAACAATGTATTTGCTCCCACCTGGAGTCTTTGTTTTTGGTGCTCTGGTGCTGAGAGGAAATGGGCACTCAATGCGTCCTGGTGGTAGTTACACACTGTATAGACAGAGGGCATAATGTCTCATCTGTACTCTGCCTGGGTTACGGGATCTTGGGAGGCATCTGTATGCACCTGATGAATTTAATTTCTTACCTTTCATTTAACAGAAAGTATCTTTTCTTGCTGCAACTAATTTTGCCAGAGAGGCAATTCATAAGGCAGAGTCATGTTCACAGTACGAATTGCTTCTCTCTTCCCCTCCATTTTTAGTAACTCCCTTGTCTATTGGTGTCTCAAAAGAAGAACCCAGAAATGGAGATTTCTTTTAATACAGAAATGTGGTCTGGTCCTAAGTTATCAGCCCTTTCCATAGAAAACTGACCCAGTCTGGTTTCCAGAGGAGAAGTGTGCAACACACAGATGTCGGGGAACCATGAAGCCATATTTCAGCTCAGAAGAAAAATCTGCTTCCTGCATCTGTTCAGATATATTATAATTGCAATTGTTTATAAATGCCATACCTTATCTTTCTTTTAACAAATTGCACAACTCTTGCCAAAATAAATGCCATTATGTGTATGCTTCAGGGAATTCCCCAATTAGTGTGTGTGAGAGAGAGAGAACAAGAAAGAGATAGAGATGGTAAAACATTTCCAAAAGGGAGAAAGTTTTTGTATGATGTGGATAGTCCTTCCTTCCTTCCTTTAGTGATAATTAGGCAATTCCAGGAAGTTCAGTATCTCTGAAATAAAAGATTTCCTGTTTAAAACTTTTCAAAGGAGCAGTGCACCTAGAAGATTCTCCCTAGGGTTAGTGTGTGTCTAACTCCATTTCATTAAACCTTTCTTTTCTTTATTTTAAAGCTTTGGCTGTAAAGTCAGAAGTGTACTAAATAAAAACAAATTGACATGTTTAATTTAAAGAAAAGAGAAGAAAAATGAAAACTGAGTCTTTATGTAAGCTCCAAAGTGTTAGGGTTTAGAGAGCTTTTCTAGTTTTATGAGAATTTGTACTACTGATTTTTATATACTCTTGTTTTTGAGATGAACAGATCTCTGGGGGGAAATTGTTGAGTTCCAATGGCATTTCACTGTGATCCCTCTCAAGCTCAAATCACTTCTCTAACCTAAGGACAGCTTGTGTCTTTGGTTAACCGTCCTGTGAAATGTCAGCTCCACTTTCCCAGAAGTCATGTGTTTACGATGAATCAGTGCTTTCCCTCTGTGTGAAAGTCGTCAGCCCGCTTGATTTGTGTGTATGTGCTTAATTCAAAGTATCTGAACCTGACCTGTAAATGCTCTTCTAACTGTTAATTGTCTTATTGATTATTTTGATTATCTTGCTTGAAGATTATTCATACTTTTAATTTGATATAAATAAAGTTGTTTTCTGCTTATAACTCAAATTCATTTAACATTTGTATAGCTTTTTACACTCGACAATATACATCTTCACAGATACTCATTCTCACTTGTGCTACTCTGTAACCACTCCATTATCAACACTGTAACTCCCATTTGTTGGTGGGGAAAATAGAGAACATGGTGTTGCCTGGGTAGGTTGGTGGCAGAGCAAGTTTCTGAACCCATGAGTTAGGATCTGCAGGCTCATTTTCTTTTCATCTGCACCATGTTGGCCCATTTTGTACTCCCTCAAGTACTTTATCTGTCCACCACTCCATTTTTCACATATTTTCATGGACATTCTTTAAATTTATTTGTTAAATAACTGGATGATGTGAGTAGATCACAGCCTATACACTGGGAGACTGATCAAAGTATGTGACTAACTCTAAAGTTGTAGTGTCCCAGGCTACTCAGCAGAGGCAGAACCCTCAGCAAGCCCAACTGGTGAGAGCTGGAGCCATGGAAGAAACACAGCCTCCACAGGAGGAGCCCCTGTGATGGGGAGGGGGACAAGTGCCCTGGCTTCCCCCAACCTCACACTCCCAGCCTCCTGTGCAGGCTTCCCATTAGGAGTAGTCAGTTGACACAGAAGCCTGAGAAACATGCTCTACAGATTTCCATGCCCCTAGAAAGGTGAACTGGATGCAATGGCAAATGTGGTAAATTCTATTCAAGTTCAAGCCATTTGCCTTTTTAAGAGGGTTTTACATCTTTGCCTCATTGGCTTCATGCTGGTGCATATGGTTTGCTTTAGCCAATGGAATGTGAGAAGAAATAAAGTGTGCCACTTCTGAGCAGAAGCCTAATAGCCTTAGGAGCCAGAATGTGGACACCAATCTCTTATCTGCAATGAGGTTGGCAGTCTCATGGGGCTTTCAACCTGGAACCTAAGGTGAAGACATGGAGCCAGGATGCAGTTAATCCATGATGCAAAAATAAATCTTTGCTTTATAAGCCACTGAGATTTGGCACCGCAGCATAATTCAGCTCAAGCTGACTGAAATGGGCCTAGTATGCCTATGTCATGCAATTATAACTTGGATTCCTTATCAAGCGCTTTTAGGCTCTGGGGATGCAAAGATAAATGAGACCGTTTTTGCTCTTTCCTGCCTCAATCTCGTGGAGGGGATGGACATATGATTATATAACACTACACATAACTGTTGGAATTAATCACTGGATTATACTTGAGAGAACACAGAGGGAGTGACTCAGCTGACCAAGTAAAGACTAAGGAACAGCTAACTGAGCTTAGTGATGACGGAAAGGGAGCCCAGGCAGAGAGAAGCTATGTGTGTGCCAAGTGAGGCAGGACTGGGACATAAGGATAAGTAAGGTTGCGTAGTATTGCCAAGTTGTATGAACCTCCGTACTTCACATCTCTGTGCTAGAAAGTGCTTCATCAGGCTTACATAACAGCACTGTAATTGTACTAGAGGTCTGGGCTAAGATGTAATAGAGTTCAATGCAAAGGGATGGTTAGAACTGGAGTAAAAGAGTCAAATGCCTCCAGGAGAGAAGTAAGGAACTGCAATGAGTGAAAGCTGGGGTGAGTGTGAGGCATTATGGAGGGGAGGGGCTGTGAGGAGCTTTTTCTAAATGAGGAATCACTGCTCAGCTCTGGATGATTGTTATTACCTCAGGAACGCTGTCTAGTCACTCATTTTGTGAAAAGAAATGAGAAATAAGTTCTTGTGTGAAATCTTACATGGAATGGAATACTACTTGGGTATAAAAAAGAAAATGTTACCCTCTTGACAACATGTCTAAAAAACATTATGCTAAGTGAAATAAGCCAGTCAGAGAAAGACAAACACCACATGACTTCACTCATGTGGAATCTAACGAACAAAATGAACTAACAAGCAAAACAGACAGACTCAGCAGGATGACAGCTTTGGGGGTGAAGGGGCAGTTGGGGGTGGAGGGACTGAGCACAAAGGAGAAAGGACTCATGGTCATGGACAACAGTGGTGATTGTGGAGGTGAGGTGGGAGTGAGTATAAGGGGACTAAATAGTAGTGGAAAAAATACAATTAAAATACAAATCTTGTGTTTAAATGTTTGTAATTTAAATTTTGACGTAATGTTGCATAGGTCACATAGCATATCCGTTTTGGGACATCTGCACTAGAGACACAGGAGGTAGCGATGAGGATCTTTGTGGCTAGCTAGATATCTGTAAAGTAAGGAGATAGGCTATGTAAGGGCAGAAGGGTGTGAAGGGGAGGATATTCCAGTTTTGTCAATGACAACAAAATGCATTATTATATAGAATTCTGCTTTATCAGAGAATACTACCTATTCAAATCGAGTTTTCTACTCCAGAGTTCAACCGAGTGGGATTTTTCTCATATTCATTTCAGCCAGTTAGTATGTAAGCATCCAATAATTAAATGAAAACCATACCCATACTTGGAGAAACCTACATAAATTATATGTGTGTATTTTATGTACATATGTGTATGCATATATATGTATAAATAGTGTGTAAATAGAATTGTGTGTGTGTGTGTATACACATGCATATGTGATAGAAAATACAATTTATTGATGGTTTACCCTGGTGCCAGGCAGTAGGCTAGCATTGCACAAGAGCTACAGGTGATGAATCTCAGGCTCAGAGAAATGAAGTTACTAGTTTACCCAGTAAGTTGTAGAATGAAGACATCAACTCCAATGCTTGCTTATGATTAGTCAGCTGTTCTGCCTCATTCTGCCTCTCACTACCCAAAGACTTTGAGGGGCCACAATTAAGGGCCCTGCAATCGAGGCACCTTTGACCTTGGGCAAAGCTTACAGGAATCAGGGTGGAGATCCTGCCACCTGGAGGTGACTAGGACCTGAGCAGTGATGAGTTTCTCCTATGGCCAGCTTTCTGCCTAGCCAGGATCCTAGGACCAGCTTCTTCAACAAGCCTAGAAGGCCTTCCATGGAGGGAAGAGATCTCATATCCCATCAGCACTTCACACCTTGCACTACCCTATGCACCTGAAAAAGATTTCCTGACAAGGAAGAATCAGGGATAAACATAATGAATGGTCCATGTCCAAATCAGTTAGGACAGACCAACCAGCCACTCAATCTACTTATAGTGATGGTTCACATACAATGAACACTCTAGATCCATGGACTATGTCATATGTATCAATCATCCTGGGTGTACTGACCATCTCAGGCTACTCTGGACACACTGACCACCAGGACATTCTACCTTGGATATATTTGTCATATGCACCCACTACAATGAGAAATTTTATCAGAGCAACAGGGTCAGGGAGAATGGGGTGCAGGCTAAAATTGCTTAGAGACCTGGCAGAACTATCTTATATGTTTCATCTGTATAAAAAACTGTGTTTCCTTCATAGGAATCCAATGCAACAGCTCAATTATCTAATGCCCATATGAAAGTCTTATTTTAAAATATATTTTATTGATTATGCTATTACAGTAGTCCCAATTTTTCCCTCTTTGCTCCCCTCCACCCAGTAACCCCCTTCCCTCCAGCAATTCCCTTCCTTTGTTTATATCCACGGGTCATGCATATGAGTTCCTTGGCTTCTCCATTTCCTATACTATTCTTAACATCCCCCTGTCTATTCTGTACCTACCAATTAGGCTTCTTAATCCCTGTACCTTTTCCCCCAATCTCCTCCTTCCCCCTCCCAGCTGATAACCCTTCAAGTATCTTTATATTTATGATTCTGTTCCTGTTCCAGCTGTCTACTTACTTTTTTTTTTTAGATTCAGTTGTTGATAGTTGTGAATTTATTGCCATTTTAATGTTCATAGTTTTAATATTTTTCTTAAATAAGTCCCTTTAACATTTCATGTTAATAATGACTTGGTGATGATGAACTCTGTTACTGTTACCTTGTCTAGGAGGCACTTCATCAGCCCTTCCATTCTAATGATAGCTTTGCTGCATAGAGTAATCTAGGTTGTAGGCCCTTGCTTTTCATCACACTGAAAAGTGTGAAGGGACTTTGCCAGTCCCTTCTTGCCTGTAAAGTTCGCCTTTCTTCTTTTGAGAAATCAGCTCATAGTCTTATGGGAACTCCTTTGTAGGTAACTCTGCTTTTCTCTTGTTGCTTTTAAGATTCTCTCTTTATCTTTAACCCTTGGCATTTTAATTATGTCGTGTGTTGGTGTGGTTCTCTTTGGGTCCCACTTGTTTGGGACTCTCTGTGCTTCCTGGACTTGCATGTCCATTGCCTTCACAAAATTAGGGAAGTTTTCTTTCATCATTATTTCAAATAAGTTTTCAATTTCTTGCTCTTCCTCTTCTCCTGGCATCCCTATGATTGGGATCTTGGTACATTTAAAGTTGTCCCAGAGGTTCCTAAGCCTGTCCTCATTTTTTAAAATTCTTTTTCTTTCTCCTGTTCTTATTGAATGCTTATATTCCAAATTGTTGGTTTGATTCTTGGCTTCATCCTCTCCACTGTTGGTTCCCTGTAGATTTTTCTTGATTTCACTTAGTGTAACCTTCATTTTTTCCCTTATGTTGTGGCAATACTCGGTGAGTTCTTTGAGCATACTGATCACCAGTGTTTTGAACTCTGCATCTGATAGTTTGGTTATCTCTATTTTGTTTGGTTCTTTTTCTGGAGTTTTGTTCTGTTCTTTCGTTTGGGCCATATTTCTTTGTCTTTTCAATTTGGCAGCCTCTCTGTGTTCATTTCTATGTATTAGGTAGAGCTGCTTTGACTCCCTTTCTTAGAAATAGCACCTGTACATTGTGTAGAGCCTTAGGTACTCGCCGGGGCAGGGTAACCCTCTTGACCACTTTGTGGCTCTGTGTGGCAGGAGGGCTTGGAGAAGGGACAATACTGCTGCCTGGCTTCTGGATGTTTGCCTGGCACTTGCCACATTTCCAGTTACTTCACCCACTCTCCCTATATGACTGTCACCCTTCCAGCTGTTGTTCTGGTGGGTGGGTTTGCATATGTTCTAAGTCTGTGTGGGCCCTTTAAATGGACTCTTCTGAACA